CTTAATGTTTTACGTTTCTACGGCATTAATCTCATGATGGAAACTAATAATTTCAAGCACCTCCACTAGATGATATAAAATAATTTGTTCCACCCACACTCTGCACATGTTGGTATTTCAGATTTACTTTTCTTCCATTCAGGGTGCCAGGCATTTACACACAAGACTCAAATATTCATTACAAAATGCATTGACACAGAACAATCAACAATTTGCTATTCTTTGGATCAGGTGGGAGATCCAGAATTGGGGGGGAAAAAGAATTCATGCCTCTCTTTTATTTCCACTTCCTGAATAATTAAAATCTTGTAGCTTTAGGAATCCATATGTGATGGCAAACTGCCAGACTGCACCCCAGGTGATAAAATTTTATAAATACCTGTAGGTAGTGGGTATTAATGAATTACTGAATCTTGGAGACCATGACAAAGTAGTCCAATTATATTCCTCCTACTCTCTTTTTGATGGTCATACCAACTTTCTAGCAGTGGTTGCTGGACAGCAATCTGTAACCTTGTCTTTATCTTTTTCTTTTCTTCATTCTACCAACATGCTAATTCTAAGACATAGTGTTATATCTTATTGTTAACACAGATGAGGTAAAGCATATACATGTTTAAATAATCCAGCCTTTAAAAATACATTTTTAAAAAGTTCACTAAGAGAGCAACTTATTTGGAAGAACAGTGCAGACACAACGGTAGAATGGTCTCTTTTCTGCTGTAACAATTCCGTGATGCTCTGAAATGTTTCACAATGAAAACTTACTTTACAAAAACTCAGTATGAGGAAACTAAGGCAAGAATATATTACAAACTAATTATGATGCATTTGTTTAGACACCTCATTTGTTCATTATAAGCAGTTGCCAAGTACTGTTACAACATGAAGGCAGACAGCCAAATCAACCATCCTTGTATTCGCAACACATTCAAATTGAAACATTCAAAGGCCCTCAAAGCTGACCACAGTGGTTCCTAACCAGATTTTTTGAGTAACCAGCACCAATAATTGATACCAGGTACCAGGTTTATTGCTTAAATAAAAGATGTAATGGTATATTAATATATCACTTTAGCAGACCACATTTAAGTAACAAGATAATCTAGTTACTGTCTGTTGTGTAAACCCAATCTTCTTTGATTCTAGTCCCCTACTTTCTCAAAGACAGACAGGCACAGTTAAGGAATAAATCAAAAGAAAAAGTGAATAAATGAGATGTAGAGATAGCAAGAACTACAGATGCTGGAGTCAGAGACAATACAGTGTGGAACTGGAGGAACACAGCAGGTCAGGCAGCATCAGAGGAGCAGGAAAGTCGAAGAAGGGTCCTGACCCGAAACATCAACTTTCCTGCTCCTCTGATGCTTCTAGGCCTGTTGCATTCTTCCAGCTCCACACTGTATTGTCAGTAAATGAGATGTAATTGGTCAGTTCATTTCAGCTGACTCCACGATCGGTAATCTCACAGGCATATGTTTCTTGCTGGGTTTCTGAAGACAGCAGTGCATGCAGATAGCTTCCATAGTCTTTGGGGAATATTCATTTAATTCTTATAACTAAGATTCTATTCTCTCACTTTCAACTTAATGAAAATTCAGAGGGCAACCAGGGAGCAATCAATTTCTGTCCTGTAGCTTTCGCAGGCATAATCCTCCTGACTTAAACACAGTCTAAAAACCAATTCAAACTCTTGCCTCTTCTTGCCAGATTGACCATCTCTCGAGAAGGTCCAGTAAACATTCAGATTTTAACATCTGTTTGAGCATTAAGCCTTTCTGGAACAAAATATCTATAGAGCATTCTTTGAACAAGAATCAACTTGCAATTAACATCCAGGCATGGCCTCATAGATAAACAAAACAGTTCATTGTTTTTTTTAAGAAAACAAGCCACTGCTCACAGTCTAAAGGACACCTTGTGCTCTCAGCTCACAGTTCGTAGCTCCAAACCAAAAAGATTCTTTTAAAAATTGAAAAATCAGCAAGGGTTCTAACAGTGCACTCATGTATAATGTTTTGGAAGTGAATCATTTGAGAGCAGATTCATTTGTATTTATTGAACGACTTCTCAATGTTCTTTTTCACATCATTTTTTAACCCACTTTTTATGCATCTTTAGTTTTCATAACACTGCTGATGATGGAATGTGGAGTTGGTTCCACTTCTTGGCATACAGTTTCGAAGAACAATGACATGCATATTATTATTTATGTACTTAATCAGATTTGATTGTATTAAATGGTGCTGATTTTCCCTTTTAAAAAAAGTAAGCATTTTACTAAGTTAAATTAATGTGCATTTTAATAATTATTGAATATAATTTAGATTAATTATATTCTGAATTTTACTTGTCTGATGATTAATCAGTTTAATTTCTTACGGGAATAAAACTTAACCTGAATTCTGTATCTAATTCGGAGCAGAGTAATTCAAGTCTTTTAAGTAGTGCAAAGGGGAGCTACAAAGCTGATCCTGAGACTTCAATGCCTCTAATTTAAAAAGACTTGAGAAATTTGGCTTCTTGGCTTTGAATAATGGTGTCTTGCAAGTTAATCTCTTTTATAAAGGGAGATAAATGCCCCAGAAACAGAAGCGCACTGGAAAGCTACTTTAAATTAAGGCAGGAGATTATAGATTCACATTGGTTAAAAGAAAATTTGGGAAGTGATGTCAGACACAAATGGGATTTGACATAGTTTAATCAACATGTTCACGAGCCATCTGTGGTAGAGCTGACAAGCCAAACCCACAGAACTGTTTGCAATCCTAAGTGGAATCTGCAACAAAGGAACCGTAGGGTTATCCTAGATGGATCTATTAAGTAGAACTGAATGTCAAAGGAACATAGAGCACGATAGCAAAAGTAAACTATTTAACCCTTCAACGCAGCTCCACCATTGGATAAGATCATGGCTGATCTGGTTGTGGTCTTAATGCCACTTTCCTGCCTGACCCTCCCTGTAATCTTATCTCCCTTGTATATAAAAAATCTATCTGACACAACCTTTAATAAATTCATTGACCCGGTTTCCACTACTTCCAAGGAAAGAGAATATCACAGACTAACCACCCTCAAAAGAAGAAAAGTTCATAGAATCATAGATCAAGCCCAACAAGTCAACACCTACCCTCACAGCATCCCACCAAGACCCACCCCACCGCAATTCCCACCTAATCTAGGCATCCCTGAACACTATGGGCAATTTAGCATGGCTAATCCAGCTAGCCTGCACATCTTTGGATGTGGGAGCAAACCGGAGCACCCGGAGGAAACCCACATAGACACGGGGAGAATGTGCAAACTCCACACAGGCAATCGCCCGAGGGTGGAATCGAACCTGGGTCCCTTGCGCTGTGAGGCAGCAGTGCTAACCACTGAGCCACCATGCCACCCCTCTTTGCTTCTTTCTTAAGAGGAAGACCCCTTTTTTTTGCACTGTGTCCTGTTGCTCTAGTCACCCCCGCAGGAAACTTTCTCCAGCTATCCACCCAATTAAGACCCCCCAGGATCTTTCATTTCAATAAAATCATTCTGTTTCTAAGTCAGAGTCTTATTGTCCAAAGGTGGAAATGTCAAATATTAGGGGGAATGGGCTTAAAGTAAAAGGGGAAATTTTAAAAGAAATGTGCTGGGCACGTTTTTTACACAGAGGGTGGTAGGTCCCTGGAATGTGCTGTCAGTGGAGGTGGTCAAAGCAGATATGCTCGGAACTTTTCAGAGACATTTAGACAGACACATGAACAGGCAGGGAATAGAGGGGTATGGACCATGTGCAGGTAAGTGGGATTAGTTTAGAATGGCATCATGATTGGCACAGACAAAAGGATCGGTTCTTGAGCTGTACTGTTCTATGTCCTAAAATTATAGGCCCAAACTATTTAATGTTATTTCATAAGATAAGCCCTTCATCCTAGAGCTGAGTTTAGTGAATCTTCTCTGAACTGCTTCTAATGCAATATTTTTTTTTCAAATAAAGTATCCAAAACTGTGCACAGTATTCTTGGTGTGGTCTCACCAAAGCCCGATACAGCTGCCGCACTACTTCCCTACTTTGACATTCCTCTATATTGAAGTTAAAATCAGATCAGCCATGATCTTATTGTATGGAGGAGCAGGCTCGAAGGGCCAAGTAGCCTACTGTTGTTTCTTCTTCATATGTTTAAAAAGTTACCAGTCCCTACAAGAGATCAATGCAACATGTGGGCTTCCATAAACTAAGTATGTTGGAAAAACTCAGAAGATCTGACATTATCTGTGGAGAGGAATCAGCGTTAATGTTTCAGGTTCAGGGGCCCTTCTTCAGAACTCAGGGTTCAGCATCTGCAGTTCTTTCTTTTTTTTTAACTAAATATAAAGTTCAGCTGTTACAAGAGGCACAGTTCCTTACAAACAAATTCACAGCCGTCATGATGCACTTATACCTAATCTATTCAGTGATTCAACTCTGTAACACATTTACATTCTTACAATACTAAAATTGATTTTTCCAGTGAATGAATGCTAGGGTTGCTGAATTGCAAGTTTTTAAGATCATGAATTTCACAGTATATCGTCCTCAATAATTGGAGCACTGGCTGAAGGGTGATGTTGCCAGCACTTCAACTAAATGTTAATTTCATTTTTTAAAAAAGTTAAAATTTAAAAGTTAATATTATCTGGAGGGGAGAATGCAGTAGAACATATTCATCACATTGTATATAAGGGAGGATAATATAGCTTGACATAGTTTAAGTAAGGCCTGGATGTTAAAATACCTTGACCCCTGCTCTTTGTGGAGCAACCTTTGTACAATGACAGTGAGACTGATAAAACTACAGTTCCTGAAAAGTCAAAACACCTCTTCTGTAGTTTTATAAAGCAAGATATGCTTGCACCTCTTGCCATTGTTTTGTTGTGTGCATAAAAGTCAAAGACGAAAGTTGATTTGACCATCATTCACTTTTATTTAAGCAATTATTTCAAATATTTTTAAACTGCCCATTTAATCTTTTCTATAGTTTCTGGAGAAGATGGATAGGGACAACTATACGTTGGATGACATGTTTGTGTCAAAAGCAGCCAGAAGAGACCAATCAGGCCAAAATGATGAAAGGCAACGAAATAAAGCTATCCTTGAGCACAAGAGATTAGCTAACCGCATGGAGAAATGCCCGTTTTGCTTTGACAACCCAGAACTTCCAAAGCATCTCATCATTGCTATTGGTGTAAAGGTAAGATAAATAAGTCTTGAAGTTATTATAATAAACTAGTTGTCACCACAAAAGTATTAAGTAAAACTGTTATTTTACTTAAAAAAAAAAAAAAAAGGGCCTGTCATAGTGGCTAAATTCTAAAGGGTGCACTTGTTACCAATGTGAAAGAATTATCCCATTATAACGTTACTGCAAGCAACTCAAAAGAAAATTCAGAGGAACATCATAATTTGTTTTCTTTGAACAGTTTGATCATTTATTGGTGACAGACAAAAGCAGTTGTTTGACTCCTCTTGAGAAATAAGGCAGGGCAAATGACTGAGGTATTAGTAGGAAAATATTTTGGGACCAGTGACCGTAATTCAATTAGTTTTAAAATAGTTATATAAAAGGATAGGCCTGGTCCACAAGTTAAAGTTCTAAATTGGGATTTGGCCAATTTTAATGGTGTTAGACAGGAACTTTCAAATGTTGACTGGAGAAGGCTGTTAACAGGGAAAGGGACATCTGTCAAATAGGAGGCTTTCAAAAGCGAGATAACAAGAGTTCAGGGCCAGCATATTCTTGTTAGTGTGAAGGGCAAGGTTGGCAGGAGTAGGGAATACCAATGACTCAAGATATTGAGGCCTGATCAAGAAAAAGGAGACATAGATCAAGTGTAGGCAGCTGGGATGAAGTGAATCCTTTCAAGAGTATAGGGGATGTAGGTGTACACTTAAGAGGGAAATCAGAAGGGCTAGAAGTCAGCAGGGAGGACAGAGTAGAGAGTATAAAAGTAACTGAGCTCGGGGTTTGTGGCCTTGTCTTCAGGGACCAGTCAGAGGGTGGAGCAGCAGCGCAGAGTGGGTATAGAACTAACTAAGCTGGGTTCACATTGTAGCTGCAAAAAAAAACTGGGGTGACTTCACAGAGAAGTTGTGACCTGATTGGCTGTTAGGATACCTGCACTAAATTTGAAAAAGAACACAACAAAGAAGTATTTATAAATTAATTAACTCATAAATAAATTTATATGAATTAATAAAGTAATTAACTAAGTAAAGGTGGCTGGGCAGGTGATGTGTTGTAGTTGTATAATGTGGGAGCTGGCAGTTCCTATTGAATACGGCAGTGACCACATCTGCAGCAAGTGTTGGTTGCTCGACAACTCTGAACCAAAGTTCAACGAGCTGGAATCTGAGCCTCAAACACTGCGGCAAGTCCAGGACGCGGAGAAGTACCTGGACGCTTTGTTTCAGGAAGCAGTCACACCTGGTAGATTAAGTACTTCAAATTCAGTCAGTGATCAGGAGCAGCAGGATGTGATTGTAAGTGAGGTGAGTAAGGGGATCCTGAATTCAAGAATGGAGGAGCCTCAGCTCTTGACCTTGACCAACAGGAACAAAGTACTTGCTCCCTATGAGGATGAGGAAAAGAGCTGTAGGGAGGATGAGCCAACTGACCACTGCACTGTGGTACAGGAAGCTATTCAAGAGGGGGGAGCAAAAAGACAAGTTGTAGTTGTAGGGGGATTGATAGCATACTTTGTAAGCAGGATTGAGAGTCCCGTATGGTATGTTGCTCGCCCAGTGCCAGGCTGAGGGACATCTCTGACTGGCTTGGAAGGACATTGGAGTGGGAGGGTGAGGATCCAGTTGTTGTGGTCCATGTTGGGACAAACAACACAGGCAAGGCTAGAAAGGAGGACATGTTTGGGGATTATCAAGCACTAAGAGTGAAATTAAGGAACAGGTGCTCAAGGGTTATAATCTCCGGATTGCTACCTACCCCGAGCCATGTGCAAATTGGCTTAGGGATGAGAAAATTAGGGAAGTAAACACGTAGCTAAAGGAGTGGTGAGGGAAAGAGAGGTTCCATTTCATGGGGCATTGGCATCAGTTTTGGAACAGGAGGAATCTTTACTGTTGGGACAGTCTCCACCTGTACAAATCTGGAACCTGTGTTCTAGCAAAAAAGATAAATAGGCTGGTCACTAGGACTTTAAACTAGTGAATTGGCGGGAAGGGAAGAGGAAAGTGACAGAAAGTATAATGGTAAATTGAAAAGTAAGCAGCAGGTTAACGTGTGCAGGAAGATTATGAAATCTACATCGAAGATTATGAAAGAAGTTAAAAGGAAGGGAAACTCAGGAGATATTATTAATGGAGATGTTAGAATTCAAAAAGAAGGCAGCATAAAGGCACTTTTCGAATGCTACGAGCATTCAGGCCACAGGTTGATGAGTTAACGGCTCAAATCATCACGAATGAGTATGATTTAGTAGCCATTACGGAGACATGGTTGCACGATGGTCATGACTAAGAATTAAATATCCAGGGGTATCAGACCATTCAGAAGGGCAGACAGGAAAATGGTAGGGGTTGGTTTATCTCTGATATTTAAGGATGACATTGGGGCGGTAGGGAGAGATTATATAGGTTCTATGGAGAAGAAGGTTGAATCACTTTGGGTGGAAATTAGAAATTCTAAGAAGAAAAAGTCACTGTTAGGCATAGTATATAGGCCACCAAATAATAACATCACATTGGGGCGGGCAATAAACAAAGAAACAACTAATGCCTGTAAAAATGGTACAGCAATGATCATGGGGGATTTTCATCTATATGTCGATTGGTCAAACCAGGTTGGTCAAGGCAGCCTTGAGGAGGAGTTCATTGAGCATATCCGTGATAGTTTTCTTGAACAGTATACAATGGAACCAATGAGGGAGCAAGCTGTCCTAGATTTGGTCCTGTGTAATGAGACAGGGATAATTCATGATCTCATAGTTAGGGATCCTCTTGGAAGGAGTGATCACAGTATGGTTGAATTTAAAATACAGATGGAAAGTGAGAAGATAAAATCCAATACCAGTGTCCTGTGCTTAAACAAAGGAGACAACAATAGGATGAGGGAGGAGTTGCTAAAGTAGACTGGCAGCAAAGACTTTATGGTGGGACAGTTGAGGAACAGTGGAGGACTTTCAAAGTGCTCAGCAAAAGTAGATACCAGTGAAAAGGAAGGACTGTAGAAAAAGGGGTTATCTGCCAAGGATGTCTAAGGAAATAAGGGAGGCCATCAGATTGAAAGATAAGGCACACAAAGTGGGAAAGACCAGTGGGAAAAGATGTACTAGCACTGGAGGGATTGCAGAGGAGATTCACTAGGTTGATTCCAGAGATGAGATGGTTGGCTTATGAAGAGAGACTGAGTCGACTGGGATTGTGTTCATTGGATTTTAGAAGAACGAGGGGGAAACTTAAATGTGTAAAATTATGAAGGGACCAGATAAGATAGAAGCAGGGAGGATATTTCCATTGGCAGGTGAAACTATAACAAGAGGGCATAGTCTCAAAATTAGGGAAAGTAGACTTAGGACTGAATTGAGAAGGAACTTCTTCACCCAAAGGGTTGTGAATCTGTGGAATTCCCTGCCGAGTGAAGTAGTTGAGGCTTCCTCATTGTTTTTAAAGCTAAGATAGATAATTTTTTTGCATAGTCAAGGAATTCAGGGTTATGGTGAAAGGGTGGATAAGTGGAGCTGAGGCCACGAAAAGATCAGCCATAATCTTGTTGAATGGTGGAGCAGGCTCAAAGGGCCAGATGGCCTACTCCTGCTTCTGGTTCTTATGTTGCAAAAGGGGACACGAGTTAGCTTTGGCAGATAAGGTAAAGGAGAAACCAAAGAGATTCTGCAAGTATATTAAGGGCAAGAAAGTAACTAGGGAGAGAATAGAAAAGATCGACAAGGTTGTCAATCTATAGAGCCACAGGAGATGGACGAGATCCTTAATGAATATTTCTCATCAGTAATTACCATGAAGAAACACATGGAAGCTAGGGAACTTGGGGAAGTAAAGGCGATGTCTCGAAAAGAGTCTGGAATAGGAAGCGCTGGAGGTCTTACAATGCATAAAAGTAGATAAATCTCCAAGACCTAATCAAGTTTATGACAGGGCATTATGGAAAGCTAGGGAAGAAATTGTGCCCCTATCAGGGATATTTAGCAACAACAGACATGGGTGAGGCGCCGAACATGTGGAGCGTGGCTAATGTTATGCCGTTATTTATTTAAGAAAGGTTGCAAGGAAAAGCCAAGGAACTACAGACCAGTGAGCCTAATGGCAGTGGCGGGTAAGTTGTTGGAGGAGATTCTGAGACACAGATTTTATGTGCATGTGAAAAGGCAAGGACTGATTAGGGATAGTTAGCATGGCTTTTTGCATAGAAAATCATGTCTCATAAATTATTTGATTGATTTTTTTGAAGCGGTGACCAAGAAAATAGATGAGGGCAGTGCATTAGATGTTGTCTACATGGACTCTAGCAAGGCCTTCGACAAGGTACCAAATAGTAGACTGGTTAGTAAGGTTAGATCACATGGGATCCAGAGAGACCTAGTCATTTGGATGCAAAATCAGCTTGACAGTAGGAGACAGAGGGTGGTGGTAGAGAGTTGTTTTTCAGAGGCCTGTGACCATTGGTGTACCACAAGGATCAGTGCTGGGTCTACTGTTGTTGGTCATTTATTTAAATGATTTGGATGAAAATATATGGAAGCATGGTTAATAAGTTTGCTGATGACATCAAAATTGGTGGCATAGTAGATAGTGAGAAAGGTTACCTGAGAGTATAACGGGATCTTGGTCAACTAGGCAGGTGGGCCGAGGAATGGCAATGGAATTTAATTCAGATAACTGTGAGATGTTGAATTTTAGTAAAACAAACCAGCGCAGGACTTGCACAGTTGATTGTAGGACCCTATATAAGGAGAGGCTGGATCAGCTGGGCCTTTTTTTCCGTGGAATGCAGGAGGCTGAGGGGTGACCTTATGGAGGTTTGTAAAATCATGAGGGGCATAGATAAGGCGACTAGCCAAAGTCTTTTCCCCAGGGTAGGGGTGTCCAAAACTAGCGGGCATAGGTTTAAGGTGAGAGGAGAAAGATTTAAGAGATCTGAGGGCACCTTTTTCAGACAGAGGGCAGTGTGTATATGGAACAGCCTACTGGAGGAAGAGGAAGAGGTAGAGGTGGATGCAATTACAACATTTAAAAGACATTTAGATAGATATGTGGATCTAGGAAACATTTGGAGGGATATGGGCCAAACACAGGCAAATGGGACTAGTTCAGTTTAGGAAACCTGGTTGGCATGGATGAGTTGGGCCGAAGGGTCTGTTTCCATGATGTATGACAAACAATAAAGAATCTTCATTAATCTTTGGTTTCTTCAAAGACCCAGGAAAGAATTTATTAGTAGAAAAGCTACCTTATGTGTTATAACCTTTCCACGATTCTATCATATAATTGCACACTGAAATATCTGGCAAAATAATGAATAGCTATGTCATGCACTTAGAGATAAGAGTTTGGAATTTAGATGATGGAACCTCCTACAACATTTCTAAGTAGATTTGAGAACCGTAAGTGCCATACCCGCGCCCCCCCACCCACTGCCTCATGATGCTGCAACTGGTGTTTCAGGCCTTTATGTATGACCATTTACCATAACAAATCATTGGTCATAGTTCCTTTGGTCTTTCTTAAAAAAAATTATACACAGATGCAGATAATGGTCTCTTACAAATGATCCATCAGCATTTACAGGTTTTTTGGCACAATTTCCATTGTTTTACAAAGATTTCTGTGCTCAATAATTACCCTTTCATGATTTGAGCACTTGCCTGTTCTCAGAAGATGAATAGCATATAGTCGGTTCCTACTCTGGCAGTCTCTATTTCGAGATTTTGTTTATGAATATTGTATATTAAAAGTTTAGGTGGTAATTTTAGTCTGTTCTGCTTACTTTTGTGCCAAAATGGAAAATTTCCTCTCTGCCTTTGTTGAATTGAAATTGTAAGCACATCTGTAAAGAATGGATGTTTATTTTTGCTGTATCTAGGACAGAGAATGGTACGGATTTTGCAATAAGTATATTAGTGAGACTCTCCGTACAAAGTATAATTAATGTGTAATTTGGGCAGTGATGTCCAGCATTTCCATTTGAAGAATTGTGTGGAAATCAGCAAGTTGCGACTGATGATAAAGGTTTTGATCTGCCAAAACCTTTACTCTAACAGTTTCTTGTCAAAAGATTTGGTACTCAAGCAGATGGAGGGCATGAACTTGTGGTAATTGACCATCAGGTACCCACCAACACATCCAAGAAAAACTGAGGACTTGTGCATTCAAGAGTGAATGCATTTTAACAGTGTGATAAAGCGTATCAGAGATTAAACTCACGTTAAAAGTATTTAAATAATGTTTTTATTACCTTTTCTTTTTGTTTCTTTTATCAATCTTTCTGTCTCTTACCCTGTCCATTTTCCTTTCCTTTTTATTTCACTTTTCATACATTCTCGTGAATTTAGCATTCAAGCTGCCACTTGCTTTAGATTTGTGTACCTCAGTCAGGATTCTTTAATCTAGTTAGTTGAGACACTGAACGTTTTCCCTGTTCACGCAGCCCGCCTATCCTGGTAAAAGGCACTCTGTTGTTTTGATTGTTTAATAACTGCAAATTACCAGTTGTAAGCCCACAAAGATTCTATGTGAATGTCTAAATGTAATGAACATTGAGTGCTATTTAGTTTCCATTAATTGCAAAATCAAACCATTATGTTTATGCACAGTGCAGTATACTGCATTGTACTTGCTGCAAATTTACTTGAAAATCATCTGCATTACTAATCTGAAAGAATGCATGGTCACTAAGCTGTATGTCAAAATACATTGGCAGTGCTTTTAGAATTTCTTTTGAAATACCCCTTGATTTTAAAAAAATAAGATGACATATCCATTTATATTCATTTTGCAAATAGAACTCGCCATGAAATATTTGTGTGGATGTCATTATAAGAATTCAGACATTTCTGTCATCCATAGGTATACCTGTGTCTGCCCAATTACCAGTCAATGACTGAAGGTCACTGCCAAATAGTACCTCTCCAGCACCACACTGCAGGTACCATACTGGATGAAGATATCTGGGAGGAAGTGCAGGTCTGCGTAAAATTGTAAATCATTGTTTTATCTGAATTAAAGTGCTTTTTTTAACCAAGATTTATTATTGAAATATTGCTTTTAGTTTAATTTAAAATAAATTTCAGTATTCTAAGGCATGCTAGGGCACTGTTTAAGCACAAATTGCTTGCCTGTTTTAGTTTGCAAATCTTATTCTCATGAGGTGAATGACCAAAAAGGTGCTTTAGATTTGTTAACGGCAAAGGTATTATGCTCAAATGAACTTGAGATGAAAAATAAATTTGAATATTCTAGTAAACACTTAATTTAACATTTTTGAGCAGGTTTATAAAACTGAATTTGAAAGCTTGATGAGAAAGTTATGAATGATAGCTATTAAAGCATGCAGCTAAATTGATGATGAGACAGGATTTAATTTGTAAATTTCCCTTTATAGTTTTAAAAGGAATATTCCAGTTTAGCTGGTAGGCTAATTAAAACTGTGAATCAAAACTTGTCTGCTGCACTACATTTTCTCCACCAGCACAACAGATTAAAGTGGCAAGTAGCTTAACCATATGGGCCAAGAAGGTTCTAGGGATTAGTTAGCTGACTTCAACTAGTTTGGGACTGGAAAATTAGCCAGCATTTCAGCTTCTAATCCTTAAGAAGAAATTATTGCAGACATTGCAAATGCATGGATTGTGATATTCCCAGAGGCTGAATACTCTGCCAATACTCAGCGTCCAATATTTGGCAGCCTTTGATGAAGGTCATATGTCTTCAGGGGTTTACAAGATGACCATCACTCGTGGAACCTGCCAAAGCAAATCATTGTAGCCCCAGATTTTTTTTCAGTTGCTGTTATTTTCATGTCAACATTAGGAGAAATTCTGAAGTGTCTTCAGGAACGTTTTTTTTAAACCAATGTGTTTCCTGCTGAATGACAAAATTTAATCCAGAAAATTAAGTGGATTAATTGCAGAACAGCAAAGGTCACAAGCACTGCTGGTTTAATGAGTATAGTATCTGGACTTTATAAAAATGATAAATTTTCATTGTCCGTTACAGTCTCCAGTAATATTTAAAAAGATGATTTGAAATACTGTACAGCAAGGGCCTACAGATAATGTGATGCTTCATTATTGAATTTTAAGGCTGGCGATCTGATCTGGTTGGGATGTTTCAGAGATAGTAGGAACA